GGAGGACTGAACAGGGAAAGCCCAAGCCAACTCAAAAAATAGACAAACTAGCATGGCGACGACAAAGAAGACATGGACGAGCGCAATGCAAGCTTGAGCATTAACCTTGGGAACCTGTTTCATACGGCAATCACTTAGCCATACCATGCCATACCTAACATGGACTCCAGCACAACATGATGTACAAGGTACATCACCGAAGTTGTTGTTGTGATGCTTCCCAGCTTTTAGCCAAACGCTCCCAGACTGTTGTTGCTAGATGCACGGCAGAACATTTACACCGCTTGCCATGCTATTTGTTCAAGTAAATGCGGGAGGATCTCAGGGCATCCAAGCATCGAAGGTGCAACTTCAGAACCTTTGGTGGCATCCCCATTGTGGAGGCCAGAGTAACTCTATTTGATGGCACTAATCCCATTGTTGAGTTGCACGAGTCCAACTTGCAGTTTTCCACCTGAGCCCACCGGTGTTGTGGCCAGAAGGAACATTGCTGAAATAGAACAGCTTCCCAGAAATGTTTTGTATAACAAATGGATTGGTTTAGATATATCATACATCATCGAGTGGCGGATCGGTTTGGATTACGGACTGAAGGATCTATCGATTGGCCAACATCGATCACCGAAGCGAGTTTGCTCAGTTGGCTTTGACTGCGCTTTGAACGCATTTTTATGCTGCACCATTTATAGAAGATAAACAACGTGCCGATGACCTTTCGCTGGCCATATACTGCAGCTCACTGTGCTCACAACATTTCAGCATGGCGAGTTGCTTTAGTGGCCGCTCTGAATGTTGCCCCCCGGGTGTTGTGGTGATCCCAGTGTTGGTAAAGCAAGACTGCACAATTGAGAGGGCCAGTACTTTTCAGCCCACGGATGAAACACACCAATCTCCCTGCGCACGTCCACTAGGCAATGGGGTGACCTTAAGATTGCCTTTTCTTGGTAGACTGGGTTAGCAGAAGCTGAAGAAAGATAAGAAAGCCATTGATATAAACGATTAAAAACCAAAGTTTTGATATGGCTACCAAAGGATCCAGAAAACAGCCATTTCCTAGAGTCACTTCCTTGAGCTGGACAGAAGGAGGACCTTTTCAGTCAAGAATTTGGTTGCTAATAATCTCGTGCAGTTGTCATGTTCTCGTGAGCAGCTGCGGAAACAATACAATTACAATGCCAAATGGAATAACGAACCAATACGAACCATATACACCATATTCGATCGAGCGGATCCACTGGGAGAATGGGTGACCCCCACCACGCCTTGACTTACTGGAACACTTGATGGCCTTGACCTCACCTAGATTATTCACACCGCTTCGCGGTGGAAGCCGCCCGCACAGATTAAATGAGTATATAAATCGGTAAATGTATCAGTAGCACCCCACGAGGATACGGGTGGTTATTGGTGTGGGAAGCAGCAACTTGTGCCGTTGGAGCCGGTCTGTTCGGTATGTTTGTCTCGGTCTGTTTGTCTCGGTCAGTCTGCACCAGTGTTTTAGCACGATTTTATATGATTTTATGTTCTGCGGGGGGGTGCTGGGGGAGAAAAAATGCAAAAGGGGGATGCTAGGACATCGCTGTGTTCGTTAATGGCTGCTATGGTTTTGGGGTTTGTGTTCAATGTTTGTTCCATGCCGGGTGATGTTTTATGTCATGGGGATTTGGGGACATGGTTGCCTCCAAACTGTCATTTCATTTTGTGTTTTAAGATGAGGTTAAGATTCGTTTAGGCTTGTTGTGTTTTTTATGTTTTGGTTTAAGGATTAGTCCATGATAGTTAGCTATGTTATTGTATGTTTTTATTGATTCTAATTATTCGGCGTCTCCATTGTTCATCATTTTCACCTATGCCATCCGAATGTTCAGAAATAATCGTTTTGATGTTGTAGAATCCTAAAATGATAAAATGATTGTACCTCTACTCATGCTTCGTTGGTCAATCAAGTGCCTCAACACTGAAAATAATAGTGTATACTGTAATAGTTCTGCTGCAATGCCATCCTCTATCGCGTATTCTGTCACCGTTGCCTTTCTACTTAAATGTTCATCAAAGATGTTTTCCTAAATCTCCTTGATAAGGTCGTGGCTCATTTCTCCACACTTTGCATACTGTGGAAAGATTGTTCTTGCTTAAGGAGCAGGTCATAGGATACAAAATTATACAGAAAGGCCTGTTCACTTGACTTCTGCGGACGATATTGAAGTATGATCTGACAGTGAGTTTAAAGTTTTGAGGTAGACATTAAATGAAGAAATTGAAACAGTTTAATATAGTTTAATGTATTTCAACTAGATTAGACTCAAATTAAAGTTAAACCATGCCCAAGTCTCTCAATTTAGGGAAAAGATGGCTGGAACTAAGTGCCGGAATCATGAAGCAGAAAGCTATTAAATCAGGGTGATTACCTATTAATCAGGATCAGACCAAAACCTCGAGAAACCAAACAAACACAATGTTTCCACAACTACTCTGACCTTTGGACTATACTCTGTAGTATAGTATAGTTACTGTTGCAAAATCCGTGTTTGCTTTTTTGGTGTTCTCGAGGTGTTGGTCTGATTCTGATTAATCTGGAATCACTTTGATTCAGAGCATTCTACTTCATGACTCCGGCACTTAGTTCCAGCCGTCTTGCCCCCATATTGAGAGACTTGGGAATAGTTTAATTCTAATTTAGTTTCAAGTAGAAATTTATGTTGGTTCTCATTTTGAGTCTACTTGAGTCCAAATTCAATTCTGATGTAGTTCTTCTGCAACCTGATTGGGAATTTCAATTCTAACGGAGCTCTAAGTCGAACAAGTCTATGTCAATTCTAATTTAATTTCAATTCAATTTTAGTCTTGTTTTAACCATTTAACCGTTCTCTTTTTGAAGCCAAACTGATTGTTATGTTACACATATATATATATAAGAAAATAAACCTAATTGAATTTCCTATTTGATTCGTAATTGTCCATAACTGAAGTTTAACTCAATTTTTAGAACTGCATCAACCATTTTGAGAAGAGATCTGTGAAAAATAATGTATAAATCAATGAACAAGTATCAAGTTAGCTCATAGATATGAACTACTCAAGAACTACTTGCAATACATACAGATTATAGCATAACAAGATTATAAGTGTAAGGTGCAAATTAGTTTTAACCTACTTGTTCTACGCTAACTTAATTTGTAACTAGCATAGCTAAAACAGCCCCTATTGTATATATACAATTCAATCTTGATTGTTTTACAATTCTCAATCAGTTCTATTTCAATTCTAATTTCATTCTAGAGAGCGGGTGTTGCTGGTGGATTGAATTAAAACCAAACGCTTCTATATTGAAACGCTTTTCACACACGCATTCATTTTAAAAGCAACACCCGCTCTCTAGAACTAAATTATGATTGTGTAAGAGTTAAATTTGAATTAAACGAGAGCTTACATTAGAAAGGAATAGAATTTGAAAAAAATCAGAATAAATATGAATTATTTAGCAGTTGGTTTAAGTCAAACTAAAACTTGATGTTAGTCAATTTTGCATTGAACTACAAGTCAATTCTAGAAAATATATTGGTTGAACTTAATTAGAGGCAAGTGAAACTAAACTACAATTGAATCCGAATCAAAATAGAGAACAAAATGAGCATCAAAAGTCAACTAACTTAGAATTGATCTAAATTGCAGTGGAGTTAAAATCTAGTCAGGCTTGAATCCGAATCAAACTCGCATTGAATTACAATGGCATCAGATTTGTTGAATTCAATTGGAACAAAAATAGGATAATATTACAATTGAATTAAAACTATATGTGAGAAATTAATTGAAGTAGAGTTTATATTAGGATTGAACTTGAATTTGGATTTGAGGCATCTAGGAATGGCAACCCTTTGCCTTGTGATTCTGATGTACTTACTACATTGCATTTAACAGGGGCAACACAATTCACAAGATGACTCTAAAAGCAGGAAATATCGTTTTGGATGGGGTTTGCATGGAACTAGATTTCATCCAATAACTTTTTAGTAAACACCTGACCTTATGCATTTACGACATTCTTTAGTATATTATACATAGTTGAATGAAAGATATGTGTTTATGGGTTTGCTAAAAATGCAATTTGTCTCAGGTTTCTGCCGCTCACAACAGGCCCCTCCCAAATTGTAATCTGGATGTGGGTGTTTTTTCTCTAATTATTTCCAGTAGCCAATTTTTGCTTACTGTATGTAGGTAATTTTTCTTCAAGTGTTTATCACCTTGTAGGTGCTCCTTTTTGGCTTTGATTGTAGCCCTTGAAAAGCTGTTCCATATATGCACGAAAGAAGGCTTCCCAAAGGTCTTTTTATGTAGTTTTCCCTATTTCTCTAATGCCCTTCACCATCAGGAAACCACAAACAACGTGTATCTCTCTTTTTTTGTGTACGCAGTGTGCATTTCCATCTTTCTTTGCAAATGACCTGACATTTTTGGCTCAAGGGACTGTCCCGGCTTTTGAAATATAGGGCATGTCGCTCTCATGGCCGGGACCGTCGACGGTTGTGCCTTGGTCACTTTTGAGCTTTGTGGCTGTGGTCGTCTTTTTATCCAGTTGCATCACGTCCCTGTGCTGCTGTTGGTGCTTGGGGCCGACTCCTTCGTCCTCACGCAAAGAAGTGGTGCTGCCTTCCGGTCGCCGGGTTTCCCTTCAACATGGACCCCGACGCAACGACCGTGGCAACTTTGACTAGTTTGGATGCTATCGCCCAATGGTCAGGACTTGCCGGGGCCAGAGACAATCCTAGATCTGCTCGTGGGAGCTTGTTCGATTTGTTGGGCGTCACTGGCGATGAGCCGCAAAGGATCTTGGCATTGTTCCCTCCGGCAGACATCCAAACAGTCCTCAACACTGGGAGGCTTCCCTACAGAAGACGAGGAGCTCAGTGCAGACCAGCTGGCCACCTTACACTCATTGTTCAAGTTCGGTAGGACTCCCTACACAGACATGGGGACCTTATCAACACAGGCTGCAAAAGAAGATGAAGATGCGAGGCATGCGCTTTGCAGCCAATGGGGGCATCATGCCTGTGGAGATGCATGGTCCTATGGACTATGAGAGCTGGCGTGAGTGCTATGTGGTATTCCGCACGGGAGCCATCATGCTGGAGGAAATGTCACCCTCCAGACTCGACAACTATGAGAAGTTAGTGAGACGATACTCCGAACGATATGGCAAACAATGCTGGCCAATCATCTACCAGGCTGATGTCCGTGCAAGGCTGGAACAAGTGGAGCGCATTCGCAGACGTGGACAGGAGGCCTATGACAATGCCCGCAGGGCCGGGCTCACACACTCCTTTGACCCAGCGAAACCAGAGTGGTGCTATGATGAGCTGATTCATGACGTCAACTTTTGGACCAAGGAAGTTGCAGAACCATGCCTGCTCTACCTGGCGAAGGGCGCCCAACTCTCACAGCTTGTTGAGAATGACGCACCCATCGACAAATCCAGTGGCTCAACACCCACAGCACCACCTCCTCCGAGACGGCAGATAGATATCCCTGACCGACCTGCCAAGAGGCAACGTGGCCCAGATGTCCGTGAGCACCGTCTAGATGGTTTGTTCACCCACAATCGAAGAGGAGTGGAGCTATGCAGAATGTTTCAATCAGGTGAATGCACCGAAAAGGACGCCAGAGGCAACTGCGGCCGCAACCCTAGCCGTAGACATCAGTGCGCCAAATGCCTATCCGACAGACATGGTGCTGACAAGTGCAGTGGAGATGCTCCCAGCTCGCCCAAACCATCGAAAGGGCCGGTGAAAAGGGAGCAAGGGAAAGTGACCGCAGATGAGCCCTGGCGTGCATGAGAATTCAGGGTCACAAGTGATGACTGAGGATGACACCAAACGTCGGAGACTTGACCCACCTACAGCTAATGTGACAAGCAGATCTGGCAAGGCCCAATCTACAGGGTTGGACAACGTTGGAGTACAGAAGTTGCATGACAGTACATCACATTGCCTGCACTTGTTCAGTGGACCCAAAGATCGTGAAGACGGGTTTGCAGCGATGTTGAACAGGCTTGGCTTCAAGTGTGACGAATTCGACATTGTCGATGGTACAAGCGGCGACCTTGCAAGCGATGCAGTATGGAACTCAGTACTCACAGACATTAGAGCTGGCAAGTATTTGGGCGTGTTGGGAGGACCACCATGCAACACGTTCTCTAGAGCACGAAGAAAGGCAAATGGTCGAGGACCCCGACCGTTGAGAGGATCAAGTGGCCCAGACCGCTACGGCCTAGCTGGACTGACGATCAAAGAAAAGGAACAGGTCCGACTAGACACCCTCTTGGCACAGCGAGCGGCAGATGCGATGAGAGAGTTCTTGCAGTTAGGCAGACCTGCCATCATAGAACAGCCCAGGTGGATACAGACGGATGACAAAGAGGTCAGTATGTACAAGTTGGACGAATTCCAAAATTTGGTACAATCACCTCCGTGTTCAATACAGGACATTGTGCAATGCAATTATGGAGCGAGGACTTCAAAGCCAACGTCATTATTGTTGTGCAACATTGCTGGTCACAATTGGCAGACAGACTGCAAACATCAGAAGACAATGTGGATCAGGCATGCAGCTCATCCGCCCCTCAAAGGCAAGGAGTGGCACGTCCCTGCCAAGGAGTGGAGTCCGAGCATGCTGTTGAACCCCGAGGAGATCAGACGACAACAGCAGCACCTGCCATATCTAACAAGTGCGGCGCAGGCCTATCCAGGAGACCTCAACAAGGCCCTAGCAGAAGCCGTGGTATCAAGCTGGAACAAGTCGAAGCCCGGCTCCGCGCCGTCGAACGATCCTGCTACAGAGCCTACGACTACCGAGGAACGATACCAGGAGTGGCACAAAATGGGCAAATGGGCCTATGTGCTCTTGAGAAGCAAAAAGACTGCTCAACCAGTGCCAAAGGCCCAGCTGCATCCGTCTTAAAGACCTGGGAACGGATGCGCAAGAAGATGCATGGAGCCGACATACCCCCATTAGTGGCTTCGGCCTTCAAGGCACTGGGCTACAGATCGTACGCAATCTACCTCACCAAGGCCAAGGAAACACACATTGCCATGATCGGAACCTGGGGACCGGACATGAGCCTTGAGGCACGACGCACCACCAGAAGCGTCACCCGAGGAATCGGACCGGTCACCCAGAGGATGCCGGTTGACTTTGAGAAGATTGTGGAACACCAAAAGTTGGATCCTTTGGGTCCGAACCCAGTAGTAGAAGATGGCCCGTGTGGGCTACACAACCTTGTCGTGCTCGGGGTCTTCTTCATTGTTGCTATTTGGCAACGTCAGAACTGACGGAGTCGCACAACAAGTCACATTGAGATTGCCGAGCAGCAAGAATGACCCAGGAGCAGCAGCGGTGGACCGCACTTGGGGATGTCTATGCAACACACACCAAATTCAGGGTTGTCCTTACCACATGGCGGTGCAACAGAAGGACCATCTGTTGAGGCGCTTTCGAGGCCGAGACAACATGAACTCGCTGCCATTCTTTCCAACGCAAGATGGCGGCGCCACCGAAAAGTCTAAGGTGGTCGAGTCATTGGAATATTTGCATGAGAGAGCAGGTCTTGCCATTGTTGACGAAGATGGCACCAACTTGTTGGGCGGTCACAGCCTTAGGCTGGCGGGCGCCAGACACCTCACAGCCACCGGACTGCACGTGTACCAAGTTGAATTGATGACGAGATGGAACAGCCCTATGCTTCTCCACTTCTCCACTATGCCAAGTCAGCGCCACTCACCAAAATTACCCAGGAATACTCTGCAGCAGTTCAGAACGCCAATGTTGCGCAGGCCTTGGAACAAGTGAATGTTGAAAGACCAGATCCAAGAGATCAAGACGGCCCATCACAAAGGCAAGAGCTCAGGCAATGAACTGTCACAGAGAATGATTGAAGTGGAGCGCAAACTCCTCAACCTCGACATGTTCACACGACAGTTGGTGGCCAGCGAAGTTGATCAGACGAAACTTCAGATCATGGATCACCCATCGACCCACATCAAGAATGATGACACGGGCATCTGGCACAAGACTGCCATTGACGGCCTGGGACATCCGCCCAATAGATGGCGAACGAAGTGCGGATGGCCGTTTGGCCTAAACAGATTTTCACGATGCAGCGGTGAACCCCCACTCCATTCGAAGAAATGTGATAAATGCTTCAATTCGATGCATCACACTAAGGACAAAGACGAGGACGGCGAGAGTGCCTCGGCCTAAAACAATCCACGAGTCGTCCGCTTCATCCGCAGCTCAGTTCACAAGTAGCCAGTGTCCAGGGCAGTCAGAGGGATAGGCAGATCCGGAGAGGACTACCTCCGGCAGATCAATTCTCGGACACCATCAGGCTGGCCGGGAGGGGACTGGTCAACCTCCATCCCTGCAGCCTGCTTTACTGGCACCTTGTGAAAATAGTGATTGGTTGGG